TGTGTGGGCGGAGTTTGTCCTAAATATGATTGGTGGAGCTGGTGTGTGGGCGGAGTTTGTCCTAAATATGATTGGTGGAGTTGGTGTGTGGGCGGAGTTTGTCCTAAATATGATTGGTGGAGTTGGTGTGTGGGCGGAGTTTGTACTAAATATGATTGATAGTTGGTGTGTGGGCGGAGTTTGTCCTAAATATGATTGATAGTTGGTGTGTGGGCGGAGTTTGTCCTAAATATGATTGATAGTTGGTGTGTGGGCGGAGTTTGTCCTAAATATGATTGAGAAAGTTAATGTGTGGGCAGAGATTGTCCTAAATATGATTGGTAGCTGATATGTGGGCGGAGTTTGTCCTAAAAGTGATTAATCGAATTGACTTGTATTGTGGGGCAACTTAAAAGAGAAAGATGATAATAGTAAAACTATTGTGAACATGTAAATAGGATTTATTGACATCAAATTTCTTGAACAAACTACACCCACATAGTGACWGCAGAGCCCCCCTTCTCYTTTTATTTGTCACACTGTCTCTGCTTTTGTTCCACAGAGACCTGTATCCAGCCTTAGTCAGGARGCTCCAGTCTGTCCACAGCCTCCTGGCATCCTCAGATCCTCTTCAGATCCATCGTTGGTCCGCTCTGGTCTCTCTGCTCACGCAGGTGACTCACACGGCRGGGTGTCACCAGGAGCTCCAGGCCGGAGCGCTCAGGTACCGAGGAGAGGCGGGGTGGTGACACCAAACTGTCAGTTTTGATCCTCCTGTTTTCCTCATGATGGCTCTGTTTTCACCGCAGCACTCAGGGAGAAGATGCCCCTCCTCCACCCCCCGTGTCCTGGAGTCAGGTCACTGGTTTACCGGCGTCCTTGTTGGGACACTTGAAAGGTTTTGTTAAGAACCTGGACGATCCAGTTCAGAAAGACAACAGCCTCGCTCTGATTCCCGTTTATCTGGTTTACTTCCAGACCTTCTACCACCAACTCTCCAGACAGGTGCTGTTTTTTACCTCCTTTCTTCTTGWGTGCTTCTGTGCTGGAACTTCAATATAACAGAACGTCTCCTTATGTTTTACAATTAATTTATAATTCAATACAAATAATATKAACAAAACAACAGAAAAACATTGGAAACATGTTTTCAAAACAAAGTTTTTAACTCATTTGTTTGAATGTTTTTCCACAGCGCTCCTTTAAGCCGGTCGAGACGCTACAAGAACTGGAGCTTCTGACGTCTGAGGTTCTTCTCCCCCTCCTGGGTCACAGTGTGGTTCAGGACCTGATGAAGAACYTCAGGTGTGCTTGATTTACCTGTCATCCACAGACTTTTATTCAAATCACTMCTCGTTAAACCACAACTCTTTAATAGTTCCAGATGTTGTTTCAGTAACACTTTTATTGGTCCTCCAGGTCCTCCTCAGTGGTTTGTAATGTTCACTTTAGTGCTCTGGGTCCAGAGTCGACTCCCAGCCTTCCTGGTTTATCCTGTGCAGGATGGAGGAACTGTCCTGGTCTTGTTGTCTCCAGCTACCCRTTCCCGTTTCTAACAGGACTGGGGCTCCTCTTGAAAACCATCACAGAGATCCATAAAGGTCTCAGCAGTCAGGTGGGTCATCCAGTTAAATTTCAACTTCAAAGGAGATAAAACCTGCAGCCTCTTTGATCTGGTCTCTCCTGCTCTGTAGTTCTCCGGCCTCCTGCTGTCCGAGCCTGTGATTGGTTACRTGCGAAGCTGCAGTCATGCCACGCCCACTCTGTCTCACAGCAGGGCCTGGCTCCTTCGCCACGAGCACCACCTCCTGTACCTGCTGGTCCGGCTCGCTCAGAGACTGGTGGGTCTGAGTCTGGTTGAAGCTGTGCCTTTCTGTTTTCTCTTGTCTGAAGCTGCTGCTGCTTTATGTTCAGGTAGAAATCTTTAAACTTTCACTTTGCTTTCTGTTTTTTTAATTTCCCCCTCAGGTTCCTGTTGAGCCAGAAGTGGCAAAGTATTCTTCACTTTACCACCAGGTGGCGCTGGTGCTCCTTCCCTGGTTACTTCCAGGCAGTGAATATCTGGCTCATGAACTGCTCTCCACTGTTATCTTCAACAAGGACTTTATATCGTAAGAAAAACGTTAGATTTTCTRTGTTTTAGCCTGAGATAAAGTTCCACTGAGAGGCCAAAATAAATAGTTAGACTTTTAGTTCGCCATCAGACATTTTATGTCGAAATCCGGGGTGTCCAATCCTGGTTCTTGAGGGCCACAGCCCTGCATATTTTACTTGTTTCTCTGCTCCCAACACACCTGATTTGAATGAAAAGGTGATTAGCAGGCTTCTGCAGAACTTGAAGAGATATCTGTAAAACATACAGGATAACGGCCCTGGAGGACTAGGACTGGTCTAATGATTGTGCCTTTAGCTTGATAGGTGTTTCAGGGATCAGAGGGATCCAGACCACCGAGGGGGTCCAGAGAAAAGGTTCCCAAAGTTGGGGTCGGACCCTTTTGTGGGTCATGAAACATCAAGTGAGGATCCCCAGATGATTTCCAGACATCAATTTAAATGCAAATAAATTGCTAATGAAATATTTTAACCATAATTATTGCAAACAAATAATAATCATAAATGAATAAAAGCAGTATGATAAATATTAGGTTTGTTTTTATTGTCATTATTCCCATGTTTAGGAGTTATTAGCAGTGTTTGAGCTGGGGTCACAAGTTTTTGCAGCTGTTATTTTGCAGGCCAGAAGCTAAAAGGTTTGAAAACCTCTGCTGTAGTAAAAACCATTTCCAGTGTGCATCGAGGCAGTTCAGACCTGCTTTTAACACGTCAGTGGGACCTTGACCTACAAGTGTCCTAGCTAGGGCTGCACGATGTATCGGCATTAATACCGGTATCGTCCGAGATTGGTCATTTTTTTAGAATATCTGTATCGGTCCGATATGTAAAACTGGGCCGATATTAACGTCCGATATTGATGTCCCACTTTTTATCTTTGTGTTTCTGTTTTGGGAGGGGAGACGGTTGGTTGAGCGGCATTTGTTTGATCATGATAGTGATATTTACGCTGTGTAGCCAGGAATAACTGAAGTAGGGAGCCATGTCAGAGGTCTGGTCGTGTATTTACAATAAGACCCAGGTGTGTTTGTGCGTATATGCGCAATATAATTTGTGTGTTTGTGCAATATCTGTAAATAAAAGTTATCGGCCATAATAGCAATAATTATTTTGGAAATCGATATTGGCTGAAATTTTCATATCGGTGCATCCCTTGTCTCGACTAACAAGTTCTTGGAGAGACAAGTTGTCTTTTGGCAGATTTTTTATTTTTATTTATTTTTTGCTTTGAATTGAGA